ATTTTAAGCAAAATCAATTGGGTGTTTCATTACTCATTGTCTGTTTTGTATTTAGTTTGTTAAAGCAAAAACATAAGATGATGACAGTGAAGATTAATTTTGCAGGGTTGAGCATGTCTGTCATATGTCTGGCTGCAGTAATAACAGGAAACATTTGAATCGACTTTCTCAGGTGTTCTGACCTTATTTAGCAAAGGGGATGTAAGTGACAGATTAATAATTTGAATCCGATTTATTTTAAAATTAGAGCCTCCTGATGGAGTACAAGGTTCTGCCCCCCTCAAACAGAAAAAAAAGTGGCGCCAAGTGTCATTACCACAGAAATACTGAAGTGATGGATTGCTGGGGAGAAAGTACATTTTGGCACGTTCAACATTTTCCAAAGGAGCAGGTGCAAAGGGATCAGAGGCAACTTTCATTCTGTCGTCTTCTCATTCTGATTTTTTACCGATAGAAATACCATAAATAGAGGTGCTTTGTATGAAAAGGCAGGTTAGCTCAGGTTTCCAATCATTGTCTGTTGCACTAAAAATGCCTCCACTGGGGTTGGGTTTGTCCTTATTAAGACATCGCACCGACTGTTGTTCCTTAGGTGCAGACTATGCCAGAAAAGCTCCCTATGAGGTAATGAACAAACAAGACCGTTTTATTGTATTCATAGCTTAAATACAATAAGCTATGAATACAGCTTATTGGAGATCATTTCCTGTCTTTACTATTGCTGTGTGGCATTGAGCTGTCAGTCAGCTAACCAGTCTGTATTTATACCTACATCCACACACATGGGTGTTTGTGTGTCATTGTTCTGTAGAGGTTTAGAGGTCAGTGTGTGTGAGGGGACATTTCAGCAGCATATTTCCCAGAGGTCCTAACAAAGCTCAATTCAATGTACAGATGGCGAAACAGACCTCTGTCAGCGGATTGTGAACACTGGCGTGTTGATTGTGTTATAATGGAAGATGATGCCGTCTGGAAAAGTTTGGAATTCGATTTAGGTGTTTTCCAGGTCTGGATAAGTATAGGGGGAAAAAGTAGACTTTGGGAAACATTTAAATTTCCAAGTCTCAGCTGTAGGATTTTCTATCTGTCTTGACTATCAGCTCTTGCATTTAAAAACGGCCTGAAAACGTAGAATTCTGGAAATTCTGGGAAAAGTCTGTTTATTGCATGGATTCTGGTCCTAATATTCCCTGCCAGCAAAAGAAAAAAAAACAAAAAAACAACTCTCTATATGGCTTTGACTAAGCAAACAGGTGAAAGCCTCACAGTGGAAATATACTGCATGTTTACATTCAGACAACCTTTAACCCGTAGCTTTAACCATAGCTGTCTCTGTGAGTTTTCTTAGTTTGTTTTACAGCATGAATCATGTGATCAGGACAAAATTACTCTTCTCTTTAGTGTGAGGCATTTTGTAGAGAAATCTTGTCTATACAAACAAATATTGTCGAGAGCTGTAAAACCTATTCAGCTCTTTTTAAAAATTATATCTCGCTCAGTTTCAGAAATATGTTTACTATAGAATTCTTGTTCTAGTGTAAAATTATATAAATATTTTTTCCCTTGCTTTAGATTTTGCAATGAAGAAAATCATCAAGTCTTTACTGAGAGAAAAACACATAAAATTGCAGTAAATTCTGCTGAAATTTGGCAGAGATGTATAATAAGAACAACATATAAAGTGTAGGTTTTGCTCAGTGTTGTTGTGTAGGGGATGTACAAGTAAAAGTGGCTCTGGAGCCACATGTAGCAGACCCCTGGTTTAGGACTGAGGCTAAATGAATTTGCTAATCCATCATGGTTGAGACAGGAGAATGACGGATCTCAAGTTCTGAGTATCTACTTAACAGAAAGTAAGTTAAACATTTGTGCCACATTAGTGCTGGTTTATGCTGCAAAACCTTTTTTTGTGCTAATTGCATTATATAAAGACATGAATAAAATTTTTCAGACATTACAAAAGTCTGGTAACATTTATTTATTCGTGAGGTATTTATTTTTCACCACTGAGTGAAAAGAACAGATTTGTCTCATTTTTTTTTCTATTTGTGAAAATAAGCTATTGTGAGCTGTGATATATATATATTTTTTATTTTATAGAGACATTTTTAAGAATTAATGTGGAGGGTGCTGCAGGTTTCTAGACAGTATAAAAACTATTGGTTGAGAAAAGTTTGTTTTAAAAAAAAAATAAAAAAATCATCTGTGGATTTGTTTCTCTCCCAGCTTGTTTTGTATGACACAAACAGAAGCTTAATCACTGTGAAAACATTTCTGAATTTTTCTTGTTCACTCTCCTAAGTTTTTCGTCTTTTTTTTTAAGGTTGCAAAATGAACACCACAAATTTGAAGGAGCACAGAGAAAGAAATTCCAGGTGTAGGAAAAAGTAGCAGAGAACGTTGTGTGAATAAGTAATCTGCTTTCAGGCACGTGTTTTATTCTCCTGAGGGGTTCTTTAAGGAAACAGTTCAGGCCATCTTGAGGCAGAAGCGTGGGAAACAAATTACTCGTATTGGACTTTGTGGGGTGGAAAAACAGCTCCTGATATTTTCCTGTAAATTTTAGCTAATTGTAAGATTGAAGTAACAGAAAATACGGTCCTTCTTTGCCAGCAACGGCAAATCCCGTGTCCCTGTTAAAGTGCAGGATAGTGTTTGCGGGCGCCGCTGTTAACTGCTGCTGAAGTCATGAACGGGTTACGTTTGATAAGGGAGACGGTTCCATCCCCGTCTGCCATGAAGTGCACGCTGTGTGTGACGGGATAATAACAATGTGAACTAGTTTCAAATGTATCATCATTGACCAGGAATTTGTTTCTGGAGACACTGGTGCAGACGTATTGATTACCGCCATAGCAACATAAATACATACAGGCAAAACAGGACCTCACAGTCACGGCGTGCAGCGAGGTTGTGTGAGCGCTCCTGTGAGAGCGGTGTTTTATTGCTGCCAACTGCTCATTTTCAAAGAGTAGGGAGGGGTGGGTGGGGTGGGGGGCTGAGAGAGATCATGGGTGGGCCCCAATGAGACTCATTGAAGATGGAGACGTCACTTCAGAAAACACTCAGCCTTCACAAAATGGAGGGAAGAGAGACGGAAAGAGGGAGTCAATAGAGGGTGAAGGGAATCCGGGATATCACATGTTAACTATTGTAAATGTGTGTGTGTGTGTGCGTGTGTGTTGCAGCAGCGCACCGCCTTGCGGAAATATTCATACCTCTTCAAATTCTTCAGATTTTGTACCGTCACAACCAGTAATCTGTTCATATTTTATGTGATGGTTCAACACAAAGTACAACATGATTGTGAAACTGAAGGGTAACAATAGATGGTTTCCAAGCTTTTTGCTACAAAAAGTACAGTTTGTTCAATTGAAAATCAGCATAAATCCAGCTGTTCTGCGAAGGCTTCAGAGGTCTATTAGGGAACGTTGGAGAGCAACAGTGAGGATAAAGTTGCCAGTTGCTTTAAATCAGGGTTATCTTTTAAAGCAAAGCATCAAGCTTTGAGCACCTCACCCTGTTTGATCTAGAATCTTAAAAAATAAACAAAAACTGACAGCATTAATCTTAAGTAGCTGCCACGACTGTTGACAGAAAAACTATTGGCTGCGCACTTGAAAAACCTGGACTTTGTTGAAAAGATGGGAGACGAAAGTCACTGTTGAGAGAACAAAACAGATAAGCAAAGAAACATGAGATGTCTTTTTTTTTTTTTTTTCCCACAAGCAATGCAAATCTGGTTGGAGTTAATGGGAAGATGGGTGTAGCGAGGTACAGGGCAACCCTGGAAGAAAACCTGGTTGAGGCTGGGATGGAGGGTTACCTTCCAGCACAACACAACCCTAAACATGGTGCCACATCTACAACGGTTCATGTTAAAGCACATTCATTTTACAAAGGTTACTTTTACAAAGTATTTACTCTTTCTTCTGATGTTTATTTGTAAAATTTTGAAAGGCATGTATTACTTTCCTCCTTTTCACATAAAATACCAATAGAATAAGTTCAAGGTTCCTGTTGTAACGTGACTTAAGGTCGTTGTTTATGACATTCATGCATGATTCATTCACTCCAACTTAAGGTAGGATGTGTTGTTTCTTTCTCGCACTCTGCCTCCTCTCAGTCACACACAAACTTCATACTCATTTTCACATTGGTCTCTATGGGGCCTCCAGCCATTAACTGTGTCCCAGGCTGGGAGCAGGGGGGGAGAGAAAGTGTTGGGTGTACCCAGCAGGGAAGGCAGGCAAGGCTGGGCACAGCTGTCCCCAGAGGAGGAAGCCACTTTCTCATATCTCTGCCTACATGGTTTCCCAGAATACTCGTCTCTGAAGATTTTAGTCATCTGAAAAAGAAAAAGGCTGTTTACTCCAGGACAACAGGATAAAAGGAGGCAAAAGCCAGAAATTCTTGAAAACATTTGTTCTTTTTTTTTTCCTTTCTATTTTAAGACCCAGAAATGATTGCACTATGGGATTCCAATGCTTAAAAAGCATAATTGTGCTAACAAAAATAGACTTTTATAGCACTGTTTATTCCCAAACAGGATTCCTTCTTTTGGTTCAAAGCTAACACAGACGGCATCCCTGCTTGCTTTCATCTCACTTCTCTGTCTTGCTCTCCAATCGTAATATTTTCGCTTCGTCTCGTTTTCTCCTGTAATATTTCTTTGCAGCCCAATATCCTTCCACATTATCATATTTATTTATTTAGCATCTCTCATATTCCTGTGTTTGAGGAGTTCAATTAAGTGCCAGATTTCTGCTGATTTTCTTCCGTGAAGGCACAGAGAAGAAGATTAAGCTTTCAGAAAACAATACAAATGTGCTTGCAAGCAATATCCGGTATTTAAATTATTTTGAAAGCTTGGATAATTTTGCTTGTTTGGTGTTGTTTGTTGCAATGAAGAAGCTTAGACGTGTAATCTTTACTAGTGTGTCAGAGTAAGTTTCATAAGTGAGCCTCTACTGATGTTATAAACCGTTTTGTCTCCTCAGCTGACGACGGAGCAGCTGGTGATGCTTTTGGAGCTTCTGCTGGAAGAGTCGGAGCTGAGTGTGTCATCGATGTGCGCGCTGCACAAAACCTACAATCTGCAGAAACAAGATGCTGAGGTGAGACACAACGTGCACATAAGCTCAGACAAGTGAGCAAACATAACCAAAGTTCTCTGAACTCGACTACAGGGATAAAAATCTTGTATAAATTTCTATACACCTTGGAGTTTTCAAATTTTGTCATTGGATTAAGGTCTGGACTTTGACTAGGTAGGTCTAACACCTAAATATGCTGTGGTTAAAAACAATATGCAATTGCAGCTCTGCCTGTTTGCTTAAGGATGATGCCCTGCTGGGAGGTGATAGAGAAGAGAAGCATTCCCACAGCATGATGCTACCACTGCCGTGTTTCATGATCACGGTTTTTAGTTGGAAAAAAAAAAATTAAACATCTTGAATTTTCCATCTGCATTACATTAGGGTCCACTTATCCACTTTTTGTAGGTAATAATAAAGTCATTGAAGTGAGTGGCTGTGATGTGACAGAATGCAGAAAAGTTCAAATGTGATGAATACCTTTATAAGCCAATGTAGGTTTTATATGTGTGTGTGTGTGTGTGTGTATATATATATATACATACATATGTGTGTGTGTGTGTACTTTTAAAACAGTATTTGTATATTTTTGACTGTATAACCAAGTTTATTTTGCTGTACAGAGTTGATGTAAAGTACAGGAAAACACAGCTGTGGCAGAAACCCGTAAACTGTCCACACCAACCTCTGTCGTTAACACATGGCTCATTTTGAAAAGGAAAAACTTGATACATATTTAGGTTTTTACAGCTTCCTATTAATTATACGAGCTGTTTTTGAGGCTGCAGTGCGTCTAATGGGACTCAGATGTTTTGTTGTGGAGTCACTTGAGCAGTTACTGAACTGAGTCCTAATGAGAAAAGGTGCATTAAAATATTTCAATAGAAAAAATTGCATTGTCTATGACATAATCACACGAATCAAAAAACCGTATCCTTTTAATTTGTATAATCGCTCAGTGGCTGCTTATCGACCTCGTAGTAACAAAACGAAGGCCGCTCTATGTTTGGCCTCGGATCCAGCTTTCAGGACCAGGAGACTTCCTGTCAGATAAAATGCAGATTCTCCTCCACAATTTCCAGGAAAAAAAGCTCTCACTATTTGCTAAAAATAAGCAGGACCATTACGCAAGTAGTGATGCGGAAATAACACACTTGCAGAAACATTCGCACTTACACACCTCTCTAAAGGCAGTGGCGCTGCCCGGGGTTATTTGTCTCATTCTTAAGAGATTAATCAATTTCAACTCTCCTCATAAATCCGGTTATTTATTTTTCTGTGTCTGAAACTTATTTTCTTCCACTTCTCACTCTCTTGCACCACATTCTCTTCTGATAAATGATAATATAAAACTCTTGGATTAAAACAGATCTGAGTGCCGTTTCAGTCACAGATGGGAGATTTCTGGAGTTAATGAATATTGGATGATATAAATGGATGTTTATGATTCTAAAAGGGAGCTGATAATACAATCACTTTGTAATGGTGCTTTGTCAGATCGAACAGCATACATGCCACCTCCTCTTTTGATAGTTTCACACATAACATATATATATATATATATATATATTTTTTTTTTTTTTTTTTTTCATTGAAATGTGATCACAGCATGCTGTTACATAATGTTTCACCATATGTTCTTGTGCTACACAAATATCTGCAGAGTGCCGAGACACTGTGGAATAAAAGTGATAAAGCTCGTCTTTGAGCAGAAAATGCTGCCATGTAGCATTTTTGTGACTGTGAAAATCTGAACCAAAGTGAGAAGCTGACTGCCATTGTGCGTGCAACCAGGCGGCTTTGTGTTGGCTGTTAGTGGCCATGAATATTTGTGCTGGTGGACCTGTGTGCATATGTTTGCATGTAAGAGTGCGGGTGCGTGACTTTGGCCCACTTCCCTCCTAACCTGGTGTGATTTGAGGTCGAGTGTAAATCTACCTGTGCACGTTTGGTGGGGTGCACATGTGTGAAAGGCGACTCATTCTGTTAAGTTTGCTGACCACAGGTTGCTCTGGAGCAGTTCAAGAATTTGGTTTATGCTGAGTAAAAAAAAGCTGTCAACTGTTGCAGATCCTTTTTCTCATAAACAGTTATTATCTTTTGTGTGAGTTCTGATCTAAGGGTAAGATTATGTAGGTTGCATCAGACATCCTTTAGGTATTTTTTTTTTTAAATACTTTCTGTCCTGTCAAATTGTTACAGGATTTTGCTCATGTGGGTTGTAGTCTGTTGCCTCTGAGGAGAGATGGGTCAGGTGGGCATTAAATTACAATGTTCCAGCCTTATAGTGTTATATCACAGTGTTTACACTGTGAAACTGAATTCACATCATAGTAAGTGGATTAAACTTTATACAGCACTTTTCTAGTTATACTGACCACTAAAACTGCTGTACATTGGAGCTACAGTCACTCACAAATCTATGAATGAAGTCCATTACCATGTTTGACGTTTGATAAAAAAGTATCAAAAATAACAACTGTCAAACACTAACAGACAAAAAATGCTATTAACATGATTGTTGAGACATTTACTGGCTGGAAAAACATGTAAAGTTGGAGATTTCTTTATCTTCCATTTACATTTTGTGCATGATAGCACGAAATTAGTGACTAAATTAGTGCCAAAATTTCCCTCCCTCCTTTAGCAAGCAGTTGGGACACTTTACCCCTTGGCCATATTGTTTAAAATGTAACTGCCAGGCTGGCTGATAAATGGTAAGTGGTAAAAATATGAGAGTAAATTACCAATAGGTGACGATCGTCAATCATCATGTTTCAGAACAAATTAATCAAGTGAAAGCTCATTTGAAATGTACATACTTCCCCGACCAATGATGCAGACAAAACAAACCTTCCTGAAGTGACCACTGATCCAGCAGATAGCAGTCAACCTGCACTAAAAAATCAAGCTCATACACTATTAAGCAGAGTTTGGAGCATTTAGATAGCAGCAAATAAAGACAAAAGATAGTCTGTAACTCTGCTTGCACACTGAATATTTAAGCAACAGTTGTTGTTCCTGTGTGTGATAACACCGGGGGTAGAGAGGAGTGAAGGGAAGAGCGGTGGTGCAGTAATAAATGAAGGAATGCCACTGCGTAATTGCATGTGCTGTCAGGAAGAGGGGCCCTGCAAGAGGAAACATAGTTTAAAAAAAAAAAAAAAGGGAGAAGAAGAGGTGCACCAAGCAGCTGCTGTGCCCCAAGGCTCTCCCCAGGAATGTAACCCAGTATAGTCAGCAGCTGCTGGGGCTGCACAGGCCAGGAGGGCAGAACTGGCACTAGAGGGTAAACATATTGTGCACACTCTTGCAAACACAGGAAGACATATTTCTAGAGGGAAATGGAGCTGAATTTTTTAAATTTATCTCCTTTTCGAGTCCTTACTAAATACAACTTAATAAAAAACAAAAAACTAAACTAAAACTAACCTTTTTGGCTTCCAAATGAAGCATTGGTCGGTCTCAGTTGTGACACTGCAAAGTTGAAAGGAGAAGGATGTAGCGTTTTAAAGACTCAAACTTCTGTTATGAGAGTGAAAGCTTGAAAAAAGGCCTTGGAGGGATCACTTCTGCTCACTTTCTAAAACCTCTAAATGAATTCCTGTACCTTTTCTTTTCCCCAAAGCTTGAGCTGCTGAGATCAAATCAATCACCAGAAATCCCACACTGAATTCTTCAAGGGACTAGTTTATTACCCTGACTCTATGGAGACACTTTGAGGAAGACTGAAAACACCCACGAAAAATGCAGTCAAGGGGGAAACAGCAAAGCTTTAAAAGAATTGATGATGCTTTAAAAGATTTTTCATCTCGGAATTTTTAGCGCTCCTCAATATTTTTTATCGTCCTCTGCCAGTCTCCTCAACAAATATATAAATGTGCATACACACACACACACACACACACACACTCATGCGCGCTCGTATCAGATGATGACGGATGATGGTTGAGGCAGGGACAGAGGCAGTCTCTGATCTCTCCTGTAACCGCAGCAACAGAGCTCCTATTGATCCCCCAGGAAAAAGGCCAGGCTGCAGCTTTCACAAACGCACACACACATACAGTTAAACAACAAATACACAGTCAGAAAATCAAATTGAAGTTTCATCACGTGTTTAGATATTATTTTCAGTCTTAACAGAAGCCCAGATCTGTTAATTCTACATTAACCTCTTGAAATTTTTAAACGAATGAACCGCTGTATCCCACCTCTGATCCAATGACCACTGGAGATGGGCAGCAGGCCACCTGCGACCCTGCATGGACAAGCTGTTCCAGACAGTGGATGGGTGAATGGATTTTTAAAGAAATGTAACATTCAATACTATTGTGCTTCTCAAAGATAACGCAAGAATGATTACCAAAATTTACTGACGAGTCGACTAAAGACGTCAAAGAAAATCAAGTGAAGTCGGGTTTATTTATCGTACATTTCATACAGCAATTTCAAATTCAATATGCTTATAAATAAAACCATAAAACTAGGTCATCAAACATGGACAATTTATAAATCCTAGCAATGACAAGATATGTTGTTTAACAAATTGGTTGGGTGCTATGGCTGTGACAATGAGCCTGTTTTTTATCCCAAGACGCCTAATTTGCAGCGGCACTTATCCTGTGACAATGAATGTCTACAAACTAAATTAACCCTACGACTACATTGGCATAATTATGGCACCGCTTGTGCTGCCTTATCACCTACTAGGCCATGTAGCTTGGTAACTATCTTTCTTTAAAGCCCACAGGTGTTGCAAAGAAGGGAAAATGTACAATATTCTGAAATTGAAATTTAGTATTTATCATTAACAGTTGTTTATTTTCCCCCTGTTTTGGTTGCAGGTCCGACATCGCTGGTGTGAGCTGGTGGTTAAGCACACTTACTCTCAGGCTTACTGTGATGTTGAGGACTTTCTGCTTCATGATCAGGTAAAACATTAGCATTAGCCCCCTATTCTATAATCATTAGTCATGTAGAAAAGCAAAGAGAAGATTTAGAACAAAATGTGTGTGTGTCTCTGTATGTGTGTGTGTGTGTTTCAGGCGATGGGTGTGTATCTTTACGGGGAGCTGATGGTTCAGGAGGATCCAGAGCAGCAGGCGTTGGCTCGTCGATGTCTCACGTTGGTCCAGGAGGAAATGGACCAATCAGCACGCAGAGTTGTGGAGGAGATGATTCTGTGACACTGGAGGTGAAGTGTCATTTTTGTTTAGCAGATTTTTAGTTTTAGTCGCTCCTACAGGGTTTCTGTTACTCTACTGAACAGTAGCTTTTAGTTCTGCTGGTTCTTTTCCTTCCAACAGTTTGAGCAGAAACTGCTAACTTTAACCAACACGTGTCTTAAAAGTCCAGAGACTTCACTGAAAATTAATATGCACTGGATACGTCAGGGTTCTTACTGAAACTTTGCCTTATTTGACCTGGTGCTCTGTAGAGGCACCTGATAAAGAAAGCTCTGTGTTGAATCTATTTTGATCCAATCGATCCAAGCAGGGAGTCTACATGTGAATTTGCTGGCTACCTTTACTGCGCATTCCTTTCTGACCTGTAAGTGAGCTCCTAGACTCGTGAGGCTTCACGGCAGCACCATTACCATATTTGTCAGAGAAGGAATTTGGGAATTTGTTCCTCAAACAAACTGTGCTGGAAGACAGTAAAGCAGAGAAAATGGGTCAGTGAGCATGTGCTGAAGGGCTCAGGATGGTCTAGACTCAGTTTGGAGCGATTTGCACACAGTCCAGCCTGGAATTCCTCCACTGGGTGTTGTTTATATGCATAATCACAGCTGTCAACTAGTGGCCTCCTGGCTTATCCTGAGCAGTGAGGGGTTTCTTACTCTGGCACTAAATGAAGGAAAGATGAAAAGTTTCCTTCTCTCATTTGGAGAGAACGAAAAGGGAATCAGAGACTGGTGTGCAAACAGATCACCTGGATGTTGGACAATTTAAATAATTATAGCAAAATGTTAGAAGCATACCGGTCAGGGAATTATCATTTTTCCAAAATTGCTGGATATAGTTGTCTTGTCTTGTGTTGATGAATTTGAAACAGAAAGTGCCTGAAAAATCACCCTTATTCATGAGTAAATCCAACTGTTTTCATTTTCTATCCAAGAGCTTTTGTCAATATGAATCAGCAAGCAGGTTGTTTAAAAAAATGTCCTAGGTGTTAAAAAGAAAAAAAGACTGTCACTAAATTCTTAGCACAATGGAGGAATAATAAATGCTGTAATGAATTAGTAGTGTTTAAATTAGAGCCTCACAATATTAGGAAAACATCATTAAACATCACTAAATATAATGAAGCTATAGAGAGCCTGAGGGCCTGGCACTTAAAGTAGAATTAACTATTATTTACTGTGGTCCAACCAGTTCAAAGGAATAACAGTTCATTTGTGATATTCTTTTACAGCAATACCTTAAATGTTAATGAAAATGAAAGGCAAGAACAGCTATTTCTACAAATGTTTTATAAATACCAGGTTAAGGCTTCAGATGACAGGTAGTAAAGCTCATCATCTCATGACGGTTTGCGCGACACAAGGAAAACACGACCTCGCAACGTTTTTGGCGAATATTATGATGAAGCTATTTGTTGAGATGAATTACTGCTTTCTATCTTTTCTATTAGCAAAGTGTCCCAAACACTCATCCTGAGCTCTGTGGTCACAAGATCTATATCGGGTGTGGGCATTAGGGACAGTGAAGTTCAAATATATTACTGCCCATCCCAGAACCTTTATGTCTGGCACTTAAAATATTATAGCACACTAAAAATGATATCTTGGCAGTTCTTTGCAGTAGGAAGTTTGTGCACTTTCAAGTTGCAATATCAATTGTAATTTGATTGATGTTGATACTGAAGACTGTTTACCCTTTCAAAAATGTCATATTTAAACGCTGTTGCAGATGTAGCTTTTGCAATTCTGGTAAACATGTGTAAATAGATTTTAAATAGATTCACCTTTAATTTATAATAATCCCACATAATTTAAAAAAAAATCTATCCTTTAAATCGATTGCAATTATTCAGTGAGGGAAAATGGCACAATAAGAAATATTAACTATTTGCACTCTTTGTAATCTGTCCAAAATATCTATAACTGTACAAAATGTACAGTTTACTTATTTCTAGAGGATATAAATATGATGCAACACATAGGCCCATTTCTCTTGCCAGTGGCCCTACCAGGAGCATCTACATCTGTCTTGCCACCAAGAACAGTAAGGTACATAGTAAGGGAGGTATACAGGAAAAATCACAGTTTACAGTGAAAGAACTGCAGCAATGATGACATATTAGGGTCAAAAAGTTTAACACATATGTTAATATATAAATTGGTTATTTTTATTGATGCCACAAAAAGCTTTTCCAGTCCTCAAACATAGCCATGTGGAGAAGGCGAAACTCCACTGGGACTGTAACTGGAACCACTGGTCAAATAAGACTAAAATTAAAATTTTAGGTTCGTCTGGCGTGCTATGAAGAATATATGTGCAAAAGTTGTTACATAGTATGAGGGAAGTTTGTCTTCAAAGGCCTTGGGAACCTTATTAGAGTGCGTGGAGTAAGGAATTCTTATTCAATTTTCAACCATGGCCATCAGAGTCCCCAGACCTAAATCCTATAGAAAACCTGTGCGGTAAACTTACGCTTTAAGTAAAGAACATAAAAGAGTATTCGGGGCGATCAAAATTATGTTTTCAGTTCCGTTCCTGGAAAGCCAGTGTCCTGCACATTTTACATGCCTCCCTGTTCCAAAACACCTGAATGAAATGAATGGCTCATTACCAGCCATGCAACACTTGACATGCAGAGGAGGTCAGTCAGCCATTTGATAAAGGCTTGCTGGAGCAGGGATACACCTAAAAGTTGCAGGATTGTGGCTCTGGAGAACAGGAGTTAGAGGCCCCTGATCTGGATCTATTCTCTACAAGAGCAGACTAGGTGCTCAGCAATAAATGTGCCTCTAGGGATTTTGGTAAAACAATTATTTCTTAAAATGCCATTTATTTTTTCCACACACTGAGCAAATACACTCAGATAAAACATTAGCTTTTTCAAAAGATTTGATTAGAACGCTGTTATAGAACACTAATTTATTTCAAGGCTTTTTACACATCTTCACCAGATGTGGCTGATGCCGTGTCTGAAACTTACATGAAAATTACATGATCATAAAAAAAAAAAAAAAAAATCCCACCAAAATATAAGCAGGTACAGCAAATGATCAAATGGAGCTGTGTTATTATTTCTCCTCCCTCCACCTAATAACACTCGAGAAGGCATCCGTGACCTTGGTTAGCTCAGACTTTGCCAGAAGGTGCTGCTAAAAACTTGTCCAGCATCAAATCTCGCAGCTCTGAATCCGCTTCGTCGAGCTGCCACGGCAGGCTTTTATCTTCAGATAGTTTTTTTTTTTTCCCCTGCATTTGCTCTAGATGCGAAAGGATTTCTTTACAATTGTTTGGCATCCGGCTCTGTCCTGATAAATCTCGCTGACAGACACGCTGCCACAACCATTCCCACATCCTTCTGCCATTCCTCCTCCTCCTGTCACCTCAAAAGAGCAGAAGAAGCATTTAGAGATTAATACTCCAACTTTTACTATGGCTTCCCCTCGGACCGACCCAAGCAAGCCCCCATAAACATCAGTGGATCCCACTGGTCATCCGAGATCTCACTCCAATTAAAATGATGGATGAACAGACCTCCTTGCTGCCTTTTCATATCTCTCTGTAGGGAGGTGGATTTATGTTTCCCTACTCAGTTTGTGTTCCTAAATCGTCTTTTTTTTTTGACAGGGTTCCTCCACAGTCTGGAACTTGATTTCAGCATTCTCAAAGTTTGAATAAGCCTGAAAAAGGAAGGCAGAGTATTAAGAAATATGACATTTCCAGACTTTATTCCATGTTCCAATGGATCATGGAATGTTGTCCTTCCTCCTTGGGTCCTACCTCGCTTGCTGTCATGTCGTCATTCTGTCTTCAAGCAATTTATTGTGTCCTTTATTTCTTTGCTCCTAGATGTCATTGTGCTCCTTGTTTCTTGTAACCACCTTCCTTCCTTATGCTCTTCTTTCTTTACTTTCATCCTCCCTTACTTATTTAGGTCCTCATGTTTTCCTATCTTCTTCTGTCCCTTCATTTATACCTCTTTTCTTATGTCTTTGTTCCCAGTTTCCATTCCTTGCTTTGTTCCTTACTTCCTTCTGTCCTATGTATCATTCTCTTCTTACTTTCTTCTTTTACTTCTTCCTACCTCCTTTTCTTGTTTTTGTCATTCTGTTTTTCCTTCCTTCATGTCATTTATTGCATACCGTCTCTTTCTTTTTTCCTTCTGCTTTCTCTCCCTTCCTTGCTCAAGCCCTTCATGGCCATGTTTTCTTACTTTCATTGCCCCTTTTTTTTTTTTTTTTTTTTTTTTGCAGCCCTCATTATGCCCACTGCAGAAATATAATTTCATTGTAGTATTTGATATTTTAAGAAGACTGAACTGGTAAACCGTTAGATATTGACATAGAAAATGTGTAGGAACCCTAACTTGAACAGTCCTCCCTGTACCCTTTGCCCCAAACAATTCAGTCTCAATCACAGTGGATTATGTTGATTTTGCTGAGGCAGGCTGAGTGGGTTTTAACTGAAAACAACATGTCTATGAAGGCGTGCTCTCTCCTGAAAAGCACAACTCTTTAGAGTATTAGGGTGGTCTTTCTGTACCTTTTTTTTTCGTTTTTCCATCCTTCCCTGCTCGCTGTCTTGTAATTTTCCTCCCCCCAGTACATGCCTTTGGAATCCCTCTTGATCCGCTTAATGAGGGGCATATCGCCAGGTCAGCCAAGCGTGGCGAATAGGAGACGAGAAGAAGGGTAACCAAGGAAATAGCGGGTGAGAGTAAGGCAGTGAATGGTCTGCAGTTGTGGTCTTTCACGGCTGAGTTCTTATGGCAGACGTGAGGGGAGAAAAACAGGAGGCCAGAGCAGAGAAAGTTTTTGCTTTCAGGGTGTTAGCAGTGAACTGGAGTCTCATTCAGCAGGTAGAGAGAGAGAGAGAGGGAGGGAAATGAGAGACAGAGAGGAGATCTTGTTCTTTCATGTCTGGGCTGTGAGGGTTCCTGGCGTGCTGATTTGTGGCTTATGATAAAATCACATTGCCAGGGATTACCACACAGTCCTGACCCCGCCGGCTGCTC